ACAGCACTTGGAGGTTGGGAGAAAACTAAAAGACGAATGTGAAAAAGTGGATGAAAATGTGTAGCACGTGCCGAAGATTTTTCAAAATAAAAAAAAAATGAAATAAAAACCTACGAAGCTGACAAAATTCAAATTCAAATTCTGAATATCCCACGCAGTGTAGATTTGGTTCCAGTGTCTTTTTTGTGTTTTTTTTTTCTTTCGAACGAAGGCGGGGGTGTTTTTAGTCATAAAGACAGATGTTGGGTGATTTTAGGTTTGATGATGATGATGATGTAAAAGAACACGAAAAAAAACAAATTATTGGCTATAAAAATGACAAAGTTTAATAGGCCATAAAGAAACTATTGAATTGATTTGTCAGAGAATTTTGGGAAATAAATAAAAAAAAAACTAGGGATGTAGTTGAACGATGTAACCCTTCCATCTTCCGACCGCTGTTAAAATTATTCCAGTGACAGCTCATTATATTGTTTACAAGCGTACAAAGGCATTTTGGGGAAAATTTTCTAGAGAAAAAGTTATTCGTGATGGAATTCAAGCGTGATAGTGGGATTTCTTTATATTTGGCTGGAGAACCACAAGTGGCTGTCGTTAGAGCACTCCAGCATTTAAATGTGAATAAATCTTTTGTGTCTCGTACCATCGCTCGTTGCCGTGATACTGGTTGCGTAGCCCGACGTCAAGGAAGTGGACGAAAGAAAACAGCAACATCAGCAGAAATGGTTCGAAAAGTAAAGAAACGACTTAATCGAAATCCCCGTCGCAGTGGCCTAAAAATGGCTCGTGAGCTGAACATATCGCAATATTCCATTCGGCAAATATTGAAAAATGAGCTCGGGGCAAAGCCATTGAAATTCCAAAAAGTGTTAGAACTTAAACCGCAACAGAAAGAAAATAGACTCAAAAGTGCTAAAGAGTTGCTTCGCTTGGCCGAAAGTGGTGAACTGCCGAATTTGGTTTTCTCCGTCTCCGATGAGAAAACATTCGTTGTCCAGCAGTTTGTAAGCAAAAAAAAATGATCGTGTTTACTTGCCAAAGAGGTCAACTGAAAATGTGCACCTTCGGTTGGCCATCAGAACTCAAGCGCCGGCCATGGTGATGGTGTGGGCCGCTATAACAGCCGATGGTCGCTCTCCGCACGTATTAATCGACCGTGGCTACAGAATAAATGCCGAATATTATCGCGAAAATATTCTGGAGGGTGTATTAAAGTCTGGGGCACGCAAACATTTTGGCCGCAGACCTTGGAGATTCCAACAGGACTCAGCGCCATCGCACTCAGCACGCCCCACCCAAGAAAGGTTACAAAATGAGGTTCCTCGCTTCATTTCCAGCGCACAATGACCACCAAAATCTCCGGACACCAATCCGTTGGACTATTTGGTCTGGAGTATTTTGGAAAGCTAGGTTGCCACTAAAAAAAAAATACCAAAGTGTCGATCACCTCAAGCAAGCGCTTCACCGGGAATGGGCCAAAATACCGCAGAGCAACATTCGGGCAGCGTGTGGTGGTTTCATTGGCCGTTTAAAGGCCATAATTCGTGCCAAAGGTGACCAATTCGAACAAATCTAAGCTTATTCTAAATTTTTGATGCTATTTCCGACATTCTTTTGCTTTCATTCAATAAAATTTGAAAAAAAAAAAACAAATGTAAAAATTATGGCATTTGACTTTGTTGCAGTTTTTTTATCTCACCCTGTATTCCCTTAAAAAAATACCAAAAATTATTTAGACTAAATATTTTTATGATCTATCCTATCTTCCTGAAAAAATTGATATATCCCCCCAGATTCTGCCCACATTATCTCGTTGCCGTCTTGGCAAATGATGTGTTGATTCGCCAGCATTTCTATAATTCATCACGACGGGATATGTGTGTGGTGCTCGCAGACCTGCGTTCACTCAAAATCATTCAAACAACAAATTGGCCGTTAATTTCGAAAAAAAAGCCAACATATCGATCGGTGTCGAAATTGTGAACTCAATTTTTTTTTCTGAAAATATAAAATGTTTACCATTGATTTTGACGCAAATTAATCAAATCCGTTTGGCAAATTTTCTCTTAATTCTATTAATAAATATATCAACACCAAGAACAGATATTGGAACTGAAAGGATTTTTTTTTTTTTTTTTGTAAATAAAAATGTTTTTTCTTTTATGTCTTCAATGTCTTGAGCGAAAACAGAAACAACAGATATTTACTTGGGTTTTTTTATATAAACGCTGTCACAGCTTTTGCATAACTTACCTTATGAGAGCTAAATCTTCGAGCTTTAATTGAGAAAATAGGCCACCGGATACAAATAGAGTCGGGTTTTCAGCATATTATTATAGACTACGCGTTATAAAAATGGTATTCTTATTTTAAACAGAATTACATGCATTTAATATTTTCTGTTAATAAATGATAATTTACTATTTACTTAACCCATGCATCAACCTTTGGTGTTGAAAAGACCCAAAACTTAACTTTCTGAAATCATTTTCAATTTTACCATTTTTGCAAAATATACGCAATTATTATTGTATTTTTATACCCTCCACCATTCTATGGAGGGAATATTATCTTTGTCATTCTGTTTGAACTCCTCGAATTATTTATAATAGACCCTACATATATTCTGGATCAGCGTAAAATTCTAAGATGATCTAGCATGTTGTAATCACTCTATCTTTCGAACGAATTGAGATAGAAGGCTAAAATTTTGCACACGTGCATAGTTTACCAGTAGGCAGGTTAAGTTCGTAAATGGGTCATGTCGGTCAACGTTTTCATATATCCCCCATATAACGGTACCTCCCAATTTTTGGTATTTTTGTCATTTAAGCGAAATTATTTACAGGAATTATTTAAAATTTCGTACTTGCAGTTGGTAATGGGTACTACAGCCTATGACAAAAATTCAGGCCAACGTCTTCGTATAGCCCCCATATAACGGTACCTTCCGATATTCGATATTTGATGATTTCAGCAATGTTATTCACCGGAATTATTTGAAATTTCGTGTTGGAAGATCTTAATGGGTACTAAAAAAATTTGCAAAAAATTTCGTATGCAGGTCCACGTGTTCATATAGCCCCCATGTAACGGTACCTCCTTATTTTCGGTATTTTGGTGATTTAGCGGCATTATTCAACGGAAATGTTTCAATTTGGTATTTGAAGTTCGTAGTAGATGCTACAGCCTATGACAGAAAATTTTCTGTGCAGACCCACGCCTTCGCATAGCCCCCATTTAACGGCACCTCCCGATATTTGGTATTTTGATGATTTTAGCGACATTATTCACCGGAAATGATTAAAATTTGGTATTTGAAGTTCGTAATAGATATTACAGCCTATGACAGAAAATTGTCTGTGCAGGTCCACGTCTTCCTATAGCCCCCATATAACGGAATTGTTTCAAATTTGGTATTTAAAGTTCGCAATGGATATTACAGCCTATGACAGAACATTATATGTACAGGTCCACGTTTTAGTATAATAGTAGCTCCCTATATTCGGCATTTTTGGATGATTTTAGCTACATTATTCACCGATTTTTTTCAAGTTTCGCATATGAATATTTTAATAGCTTATAACAAAAGTTGCAGATCCACGTCTTGGTATAGACCATAATATAACGGCTACATTCGGTATTTTTAAGATATAAACAGGATTTTTAACGAATTTTATTTTTTGAAAATTGCCAAATTCTTTTCAAATGGTGGAGGGTATTCAAAGTTTGACCCGACTGAACTTACACCTTTATTACTTGTTTGAATAAGACTTTTTAAGACTTTTTTACATACCATGTCATATCGCACAAGAATAACGCAATCTGTAACTCATCGATTATCGTATTTTTTTAACCCTCAGCCATAGCCACATATCATTTGATATGGCTAAAATTTGTCCCATCGAAATAACGGCTTGAGACCCTAGGTCTCTTTGGACCAAATTTGTTTCAGGACATTTGGAGTCGATCTAGGGACATCCATCCGTCCGTATGTTTGGCTGGTGCGCATCGTAATATTTTTTATAAAACTTAGATCGAGTTCGAAAATGGGCAATATCGGTCCACTCCTTCTGGTACCACCCCAACAAAAGGTAGAAATTTTCGAAAAAAAAAAGAAATAAGCATCTTCATATTTCACACATCTCATTATCTGTACTAACACAAGATCTGCTGTGAAGATGGAATACATAAGTTCACTCCTTTCGGTTGGAATCTGTAACTACCCCGACCGCCATCTTGGACGTGCCCATTGGGCACCATCAGTGCAATAAAGATCAATTCTTGTTTCTTGGACAATTCCAAATCTATTCCGGCTTTAAAATGAAAACATAGAAACTTAAAAAAATACTAAATCCTTTAGGATCCCTTCGCTAACTGAAGATCCCTTTAGCTACAAATAAAGCGCCACATGGCCACCTAGAGATTTTGTATTGCACATAATTTCTAAGTGGCGGATGCAACAAATTATTATCCGACATTTATGCTATTATTTCATAAATGGCACATAAACAAATCAATTTCAATTCCCATCCCATTCGAATTAAATCAACTTCTTTGATTTAATTTTGAAATTTAATTTCATCTTTAATTTCCATTTTCTAAATTACACGCCCACGCCGCACACACACATGCAGGCAATGAAGCCAGCGAGTGCTCGGGCGGCTGAGCAACTATAAAAGACAAACAAATAATCCGCAAAGGAAGAACAAAAAACCAAACAAAACAATTGAATGGAAATTAATTATAATTTAATTACTTTCTAATTATTCATTAAGTGAAGAAGAAAAATAAGATGAAAAAAGAAAAAACAAAAGAGAAGAATGAGCGGAGGGTGTGAAAAAGCAGAAAAATCAATATTGGTCTGAGAGGAGGAATGGTAAAAGTTCTTGGCAAGAGAGGGGTAGAAGGGGGGATAGAAAGTTCAAGGAGAGGCATATATTTTTTTTCTTCTTCAATACAAAATTTATCTTCTTCTTTGTTTTTTTGTTGTTAATTACCTTTTAACATTTTATTGGTAGTGGCTTCTGGCTTCTCGCTCGGATGTGGTCTCAGCTGTGAATTGTGTAGATGGGGGGATGCCTGTTTTTGTTTCAGCTGGCTGGGGGATGATGGCTGCTATTATTTTTGCTGCTGACAGGATTGGCGATACAAGCCACACATGCTGGGCCAAAAATAGGCGGCAAAAGTAACGCTATACCCTGCAATGTTTAATGAGCCGATTTATGTGCGTAACGACCTCTTGCCGTGCACCGGAGGAGAAGGCAACGGTGGCGGCGTCGTTAATGTCGCCGACTGCTGCCAAAGCAGCTTTTAATTGATTTCGGCAACAGAACAACAGTCACGGCTTGACAAAGGCCCCATACAAACATCGATAGAATTCAAGTCAATGCAAATCCAAAGACTTCCCTTGGAGATCCTTGGAGGCGAGATTTTTGTGTTGATCTGAGAAGAGGTTTGGGGTTTCCAACTCAAACCAGAAAATCCATTTCGCCTCTCAGCTGTTATTTATGGTACTATCGGCTGTTTCATTGAACTTCGCTGCGGCGGACTATCCTGCTGTTTTTGTTGGTGTTGTTGCTATTGTTGTAATGACTATTTTCAATTGAGGAGGCGTTCTGCTTTTCTTTTCTTCTGCTGTTTTTTTGAAGATTTGTTTTGTGGGCCATTAACACCAGCCACTCATTCACAGCTTCTACGCAATGCTCCTCGCTGGCTGTTTGGGGTGTATGTGTGTGTGGGTAGCTTGTATTAATTTATTTTGTGTTGCTATTATTGTTGTTGTTGCTTCTTCTCACTTAGCACTCAGGTAATATAAATTTACATGACTTTTTTGTGGGGATCGCTGTTTTGGCTATTTGTTTAGTTTTTATGTTCTGTTCTCTTTTTTTTTTTTTTTTTTGGTTGTTTCTTCGTCTAGTTCACAGTTTTTTATGGGTTTCTAATGGTTTTAACTGTCTGTTGGCTCGCTTGTTTTTTTTTTTTCTATTTTTGTTTTTGAAATCTGAAAATAGCAACAACGGAAATGGAAAACTATTAGTTGTAAAGTTAAAGGTTGCAAATTTAAATTGTCAATGAAAATGTTAAGATGTTGTCAATGTTGTAAAAAAATACACTTAAGACAGTATTCTGCGGGTCTGAAATAGAACGAAGACCTCTTTAAGAGATTTTATGGCCAGAAAAAATTCTGAGGACTATTAGGAGAAGAACTTCTTAAGGTCTTCTGCAGACAGATAATCCCCTAAAAGGGTTTAATAGCCACTAGAAGTTGGATGTGTTTTCTGGGATCTTTCATGAAAAAAACACCTTTTGAAGGTCTCTGGAAAGAAAATTTTCTAAGGTCTTCTGAGACACAGAAGAATTTCTAAAGGTCTTCTAGCGACCGATTATTCTCTCAAAGTAATCAAACAAAACACCTTTTAAAGATCTTTTTTTGGCCGTGAATCATTGAACAGGCTTCTTTGGCAAACTATACGTGGACTTCTATGGACAAACGTCCTTTACAAAGTTGTATATTAACTGAAGACCTCCTAAAAACTTCAGAAGGACTTCCATAGGTAATTAAAGGCTATCAAATTCCTTCTGGGGACAGAGGAACTTTCAATTGTCTGCAAAAGGTAAGGGACAATCTGAAGTTCTGTTAAAACTTCCAACACCTTTTCTAAGATAAATGACACTTCTATGGCCAGAATACATTACAAGGATCCAGAGTGGGCAGAATACTGTATTCTAACTGAGTCCCGTTGATACGCGTTTATCAGGTTTTATTATCGAGTCCTTGCCATGGTATAGGGTATGGTGTAGTTCCAACACCTTTTCTAAGATAAATGACATTTCTCTGGACAGAAAACTTTACAGGGATCACGAGTGGGGAGAATACTGAATTCTAACAGAGTTCCATTGATATTTCCGTTGATATCAGGTTTTATTATCGAGTCCTTGCCATGGGCTGTGCCAGTTTCGATCATCAGTCCCTTCACAAGACAATGACGTATGGAAGTTTAAAAAATACGCCTAAAAACAACCAACCCTATTTCGACTGATGCTGGACGCCTAGGCAACCTCAATCAAGTGTGAAGTTCACCTCCGCCTCAACAAAAATGACCTTAAGATCGGACTCGAACAGCGATTCTGGGTAGTCAGCTGCCACTAGTAGGATGAAGTGGATGGGAGACTTGGGAGGACTGAGTAAAGACAATATCTCTGAATACTTCTGGAAAAGTCTCGTAACGGACGAGGACATGGATACAACTGTAGTCCAGGCATTCACCTCAAACCAGGGTTTGACTCCTGATTAGTTTTAGCGGCCCCAACACAACAATCCGTCGATAAATAGCGAGAAGTCCACAATCACAAGGCAAGAGGCTATCGAGAGAGAAGGAGCACAGAGCGCCATCTCCATTGATAAAATTGAAGTGCCGCGGAGCTTTCCCGACACCAACAGAGCCAAATCCAAGGAGATTAGAAATAAAAAGGCATATCGACGATCATTAAACTACTATAGTCGATATGTCGATGGGGGTCCGTCTAAGATCACGGACGAATTTGAAGTTCGATAGGAAGTCCGAGAGGACATATCCTAATGCAACATTAAGGGAACTCTCGATAAGCAGGATACCCACATTCAGTAGGCCTCAAAAAAAAAAAAAAAAAGACGACGACGGTGAAAAATCCCTGGTCGACAGGAAAGTTGGTATCGGAGCCAATTGTAGGCTTCAGAAAGGTCCCTGATGTCGCAGAGATGGAGGTACCACTCCCCAAATCCAGGGCAGACGAAGTTGAGATTAAATCTACGGAACGGCATGCCACTAAATAGGGCTGCAAGGAAGAAAAGGAAAGCGAAAACTTCTAAATAATCGAAACAGGCTCCGCTGAACCCATCAGTCAATTAATCAGCGCAACACCTTACAACGGAGATGATGGTGAAACAACAGGTGGACAGTTCAGAGACAACTACATCGAGCGGACATACTGGTGTCTTATCTGGCTTTTAAATACATTTGTGTAAAAATATAAATTTTAAACGCCTCCCCCCCTTTCTACCACGTCTACGCCTCGTGTCCCCAACGCGATTTTTCACTTCACATTAAAACACTTTCCAGTTATGGGGTTTTTATGTTTTGTTTTATCACCAGCACTTAATTGTTCTTTTTTTTGCGTTGTCGTCGTTGTTGTTTTTGTTATTGTTTGTGTGGTGAGCATGTGTTTCTTTTGCCATGGAAAGTGGCAGCCAGTCAAACCAAACCAGACACCCGGTGACTGAATTACCTTTCCCTGATCAATGGCCTGAATATAATGATAGGCATGGCTGCAGGTGAATACTTTGCACTCGGAGAGCACTTCAAAAAAATAACAGCCACCATCGAAGTGGTTGTCACTTATGAATTAGTGAAGTAGCACACATACACATACAGACACAGGCAAATAGCATCAAAACTTTAAAAATAACTTTTATTAAAGCTTTTAAGATTTTTACAAACATAAATATGCAGACACCAAATGGGTCTCTGAAAGAGGAAATTAGATGGGGAGAAGTTTGAGAGCCTTAAACAATTTTTTTGAAAGGACCAATATTCTTTTAGAACCAACAGAGTTATAATGACGGATTTCTTCGAAAGGACCTATAGAACTACCCTTAGAGGATTATTGGTGATCGCTTTCAATAATTGAGAAAATTTAATAATTTTATTCAAGTAATCGTGGGGATATCTAAAAACAAATAAAAATCATGTTTTGCAGGATAACTAGGCTTATCACGGAATTTCTCAAAGCTACAATCATAGATCATAGTGGAGGAATTTTTAAAGGACAATATTAGTTAAAGCTATAATCGCAAACTTTTATTTTTAATGACAATAATCCTGATTTTTCTTTAGAGCAATGATCTAGATTTTTTTAATTATTTTCAAGGACCTTCAGAGCTATAACTATGGACAGTCGAAGAAATTTTTAAAAAAAACCTTCAGAGCAATAAACATGGATTGTTTAAAAAACATTTTTGTTGTTTTCAAGGACCTTCAAAGCAACAATAAAGGACGTTCAGTACAAAGGACATTTTATTTTTAAGGACCATAATCCTGATTTTTTCAAGTACTTTTAGGGTAGGTAATAATCGTGGATTACTGTTACTCTAACAGTCATGGATAATTTAAATATGTTTTCAAGGACCTTCAAAGCGACTATAAAGGACAATCAGTACAAAGGACATTTTATTTTTAAGGACCATAATCCTGATTTTTTCAAGGACCTTTAGAGCAATGTTCCTGGATTTTTAAAAAATATTTTTAAGGACATTTAGAGCAATAATTATGGGTTTTTTGAAAACATTTTGAAGCAAGTTCAAAGCAATAATTATGGATATTCAGTGTAATCTCTTCAAAGACTTTTAGTGGATTCTTAAAAAAAATTCAAGGACCTTCAGAACCATGTTTCTAGTTTTTTTTCAAAAATATTTTCAAACACCTTCAAGGCAACAATCGTGCATTTTTCAAAAATATTTACAAGGATCTTCAGAGCTATAGTTATGGATTTTTTTTTCAAGGGTCTTCAGAGCGATAATTATGGATATTCATAGCAATCTTTTCAAAGACCTTTAGAGCAATAATAGTAGATTCTTGCAATATATTTTTAAGAATGTTCCAGGATTTCCAGTTATATTTTTAAGGACCTTCAGAGCAATAATCGTGGAATTTATAAAAAGATCTTCAAGTACCTTGAGAGCAATAATCGTAGATTTTTTAAAATTTTTTTCGAGAATAAATTTTTTTAGAGCAATAATAAAGGACATCCCGAGCAATCTGTTCTAAGACCTTTAAAACAATAACCGCAGATTTCTTAAAAATACTTTAGAGGGCCTTTAGAGCAATAACAAAGGACATTCAGTGAAATCTTTTCAGAGACCTTTAGAACAATCATCATGGATTTTTGGAAAATATTTTCAAGGACCTATAATCGGGAACTTTTATTTTTGAACCCTAACCTTAATTTTTTAAATATTTTCAACGACTATTAGAGCAATAATCGTGATTTTTTTAAATTAGTTGCAAGGATCTTCTGGACAATAATTATGGGCATTCAGAGCAATCTTTTCAAAGACAATCAGATCAATAATAGTGGATTTTTTAAAAATGTTTTCAAGGACCTTCAGACCAATAATTATAGACATTCAGAGCAATCTTTTCAAAGACCTTTGGAGCAATAATCGTGGATTTTTTAAAAATATTTTCAAGGACCTTCAGAGTAATTGTTGTGGATTTTTTAAAAATATTTTCAAGGACCTTCAGAGCAATCTTTTCAAAGACATTAAGAGCAATAACCGTGTATTCATAGACAATATTTTCTAGGACCTTCAGAGTAATTGTTGTGGATTATTTACAAATATTTTCAAGGACCTTCAGACCTTCAGAGTAATTATCGTGGATTTTTTAAAAATATTTTCAAGGACCTTCAGACCTTCAGAGTAATTTTTGTGGATTATTTATAAATATTTTCAAGGACCTTCAGAGCAATCTTTTCAAAGACATTAAGAGCAATAAGCGTGCATTCATAGAAAATATTTTCAAGGATCTTCAGATCAGTTATCGTGGATTTTTAAAAATATTTTCAAGGACCTTCAGAGTAATTATTGTGGATTTTTTTAAAAATATTTTCAAGGACCTTCAGAGTAATTATCGTGGATTTTTTAAAAATATTTTCAAGGACCTTCAGACCTTTAGAGTAATTATCGTGGATTTTTTTAAAAAATATTTTCAAGGACCTTCAGAGCAATAATAAAAGACATTCAAGCAAAGACCTTTAGAACAATAATGCTGAATTCTTAGAAAATATTCTGAAGGACGCACAATGACAAATAGAACGCCATGGCATGTCAAGACGTAAAGAGTGAGAATAACACGTTTAGAAAACACACACAAACTATACAGACATATATCGTCTACCACTACAGCCATTCGAAGACAAACAACCCACCACCCTCGAACCCCATTACAGAGTCACGAAATGCCA